GTTTCGCTCTTATGAGAAATTTGATTATAGGAGGCTGTTTATATGGTCTCGCTTACCCGGGATTCAATGAAGTGTAACGTATTTTGATCGAGCAATTGAAATACGTGTTTCAGCCCTAAACAAAAGTTAGATAACTTTAAATATTTTTTAAACGAAATTAGGAATGCGCCCGAAGTTAATATGTAGTGAAAGAAGACGATTAATAGCATTCAACAACATTTGTTTTTTTGCTTAAGACATGGAATTTCATACAATTTGTAACGAGCAATTTTGTTATATTATGAAGTGCGACTAATTTACATTGCTCAAAATACGCCCCCAACTTAATGGCATGGCGGCGACGTACAGAGTTCTGAAATTGCTCAGAACTTCAACTTAACGATACTCCCTATAGGGTATGACATCGTGTTTACAAGTCTGATATGTTGGATAAGTTGCAGAAAAGTATGGGTAATATCTTCATTTTTTGCAGTTTGTCATGGATAATGTAGCTGCTTAAAATTAATCAATTGTCAGTATTTTAAGGGTATATTATTTAAATGATAAATAAAGGTCCGCATGATTTTGAAAAAAGAATGATTATTAGCAAATTGGTTTCTTAAAAGAGCAAGTCGCTTACATGCAGTTATTGTGCATATGACAAAGTAAATTCAGCGTATGTTCTATACATCAGGTTTGATATTACTTTATAATTTCTGTGTTTCGGAAGTTTTATATTTATACAAACTGTCAAACACGTCACTAATTACATTGACATTGTCATTGTAGTCACATCGCGAGTTTAATAAAATCTAGCCCTAATCTCAATGATTTATGCGACTACTTCAGAGAAAACTAAGCACATATATTTCAGTTTGAAAAAAGTAGATAATACGGATTGCTTTTACGAGCTATTGAGACTTTTAGTAGTGGATTTAAAGCAGGCTATTAATAACTGACTTTTGTCTATTAATTATTATGTGTCAAGTCACGCGCACGGAGCTTTTGCAACATGATGTAATGATGTTCATATAATCATATTGACTATTTATTTCTCTAAAATCCCGATAAACAAGCAAAATAATTTAAAATAATTTATAATTTATCTGTCAAAACCAAATAACAAGAGAAAACAAGTATAAATCCTCACGCTTCGACAGTCTATCTGAGCAGACTGTGTCTAGACGAACTGCCTGTCTATAAGTGTCTGTCTACATAATCGGCCGTACATTATAGACATTATAATTTCGTGATAACAAAACACCCCATAATATTATTTACACCAGATTTGAGGGCAACATTTGCTCATACATTTGTCTAAATTTGAAGGAAATCGGAGTTTTACCGGAAAGGGAAAATTGATTTTCAAAAAATGTACCAAACCTAAAATTTTTTAACTTAAGGTTTTTCTTGTGATTTCCCTGATATTATAGTCAGTATAATTCCGCGGTAACAAAAAGCCCCAAAAGAATTTTTATATCGGCTTTTAGAGCAACAGTTTCTCTTTAAATTCCCTAAATTTCAAGGAAATTGGAGTTTTCCCGGATACGGAAAATTAATTTTCAAAAAGTGTAACAATTTAGAATTTTTTGGATCGCAAAATAAGGCGATTTTTACACGCTTGCCTTGACTTTGAAACATTATTTAAAAGATTCCAAAATAGACTATCGTTGTTTATAAACATCTTATATACACGTTTAAAAACCGAAAGTGAGGTTTCCTGAAGACGCGAACTGAGCAAAACGAAGTTTTCGAGAGGCTATGACTCACTATGTTTTTAGCTAATTTCACGAACTTGGGTACATGTCAGGTTTTGATAATTTTTCGGCGTTTAAAATAATATTTCAGAAAACAAACCCCATCACGTTTCTAAGTATACATTAGTGCATCACTGGACAAAATAAGAAAACATTTCATTTTTCATCATGTGCCACCAGTTGCTCGGTGATAGTGGAGATTCCCTCTTAAACTAATTAAAAGTGCAATACATTTGACCTTGATAACTTTCGTATTGTTGGTTTTCTCTTTTTCGGCCGTATACCAGTGGGTTCGTCTCACTTTTCTCTTTATTTTGTTAGTAGTTTGAGCGCAAAATATTATATTTTGAAGCTTTTAATGTGCAGTTTTGATAAGCGAAATTGTACTGTTTACAAATCGCTCAAAATTACTAAACTAATTAAAAATAGGTACGCAATGCGTACATGTTGCATGCCATCTGAAACTTATGATGCGCTATAGCGCTTATAATGTCAGGTACAACCAGTGTGAAACTTAAAATATTGATTCAATAAGTTTAGTATCGATATATGTATTGAAAATAGCTATTATGTCCAAATAAGAAAACTTACGATTCTCACACAAATAGGCAATGTTTTTATCAGCGACTGTTAATAGTTAGTTGCAAGCGACGGTAATAACAAGGTCAAGGTGGGTCAAGGTTTTATCAAAAGCAGTTGACTGTTAGATTTCCTTTACAAATTTATAACTAAATAACGTTATTTCCAATACTGCTAACTGCTATAGATTTAGCTTGATTGTAATTTTTTAAAGGTTTAAAAAACCAGTGGAAAAGGTGAATTACTATAATAGATTGAAAATGCTTATTAAGCTATGATTGAAATTGTCGAAGTTGAAAAAGGATAAAGGTACTAGTTCGTTAATATGACCTTATGGGTTTTTTCTAATTCATTTGGGAGAGAAGAAATGGCTGTGTTTATCATTTTGGCATTTGAGTGATTGAAATTAGTTAATTTACACTAGTGTAAACTTCAGAATATAAGCCCCTCCCGAATATAAGAGACCCCCACCATAATAATTTTAGCTAAAATAATTAACTTAGATACATAATACTAAATTAGTCTTAGTCTTTTTAAGAATTCTACCTAAGAATAATTAACTTAGATACATAATAATAATTAAGTTTAATTTTATTTTTTTTTTGGAACCTTGTACATGAGAATTTTAAATGTAAAGTCACACGTCTGTTGTGGCTATGTTTAATAAAGACTTAATAATAATAATAATAATAATAATGTATAAGCCCATCACAACGCTCGCCTCATTCCAAATATAAGCCCTCGGATATAAGCCCCCTCCCAAATATAAGCACACCCAAATATAAGACCCCCCCCCGAATATAAGCCCAGTAGCCCACTACATTATTCAACATTGACATTGCCTTTTATAGCAGAGAATGATATTTAAAAACATTGTCATTGTCCCTATATCTTACTATGTTAATCAAAGCGAGTTATTAATACACGTTTATTTTCCTGTTTATGACTAACTTGTTTACGTCTGATTTATTAGTTACTAACACAAAAGATCGTCCATGTATAAGCCCCCTCTCCCCCCGTATATAAGCCCTCCCCCTTGTTAAAGCTCATCAAAAATCGCTTACGAAAGTATATAAGCCCAGGGCTTATAGTTGGAGGTTTACGGTATATCGAATGTCATGTTGAATGTCATGTTGAATCTTATGCGTACTTCACAATGGTTGCTATTTCGTTGTATTAAATTTCAATAGTATTACTATTTTAATTCAAATTTTGTTTGGTATTTATATTTCAAAATGTGCTGTAGTTTTAAAGCTTTGCACAGAATATAGTCAGTGCATGCGAGCACAATGGCTCCTTTCAGTTTGAGTATGTAAAAATCGAGTATTTGATAGCGTGGGCTTTGAGCATATGGCTTTGAGGCTTTCGCGATACATAAATAAAACGCCTGATAATTGATCAATAATCAGTGCGCGCGAGCACTCCAAAATCACAACAAATAACAGAATATGCGGCAAGTTAAAAACAACAAAGCTTTACCTACCTCGATTTATTTTTCTAAGGCGCTCAATTATGTACATTTTCGGCGAATAATCGCTATTTCTTTGCGTTTCCTCGACGAAAACCCGGTATGAAAATGCTCGTCGGAAAAACTCGACGTATTTGTCGTATTTTACGAACCTGCCACGTGACTGGTACGCTCACCGCTCACCGACCGACCACGACACGAAATTTAGAGCTATATGAAAGTTGCATGCCATATATGGCATGCAACAAAAATGCAGTCCGTTTGATCCTTGATAACTTCGGAATTGTTGGGTTTTCTCGTTTTCGGCCGTGTGCCAGTGGATTCGTCCCACTTTTCTCTTCAGTTTGATAGTATTTTGAAGCCAAAGTATTTTATTTTGAAGGCTTTAAAACGCAGTTTCGACCCTAACGTAGGGACCAACTAGCGGCCGACAGGAGAATGTAGCGCGCTAAATATTAAACTAGGGATCGAGTAGGGTACCTGCAAGGTAGGGATTGCTGCGGGCATTAAAAGCAAATAGAACCACAGTAAAGAGCACACATTATATCAAGCACAGTGATTACTCGCAGCCACTAGTGAGCTGTGAATGGAACTGAGAAGGACAAGTAGCAAAGACCAGGGGTTAAAGGGCAATCAGAGGTGACAGATATTAAACATGTGCGTCTCATTGATTTCATATCAAGTCTGTTCACTGCTAGGCGCATTTACCACATTATATTATAGACTATATACACAGATTTATCACACTAAGAAACCAAAACTTTATAAAAAATATAGAACTGACAGTGGCCAAAGTCCAAAACAAATGTAAGCGTAACATTAGACGTCACATGAAAAAGCTTTAAAAATTCTATAAAAATTCGATGGTGGGTCCTCGCGCGCTCACTTTTCCCTCACTAGAAACTTCATGTATTAGCCAACAGGAGGAATCTAGGGGCCCCATCTAGCGTATTATTTTATATAAGTTTACATGTACGCGAAACGCTAGAAATTTTTTTGTAGGGCACCACATTTTAGTACTGTGTCTTGTTTGAGTGAAATTCCGCAAAAAATCACATTATCACGTGGTACAAATGCTGATTTTTCATTGGACAACTTGAATTTGAGGTATAATATTCCCCGATATCACCTCGCCTTCGGCGAATAATTGTTAAATGTTAGCCAGGGGGTTGGCTGATCACGTCCAATGGTTTAATTCAGAGTTAGTAAACATGAATTTTGCTATTGCAACGGAGGCAACCTATTCTTGTTTTAAAAAAATGCGAAATCATACCTTGACAAGTTTTACCATCCCCTGTATATCCTTCGTTACAGGTACAGGTAAAAGTTCCTGGTCCTGTGTCAGTACATGTTGCAAATTCACTGCAGTCTTCTTGTGGAGTTCCACATATTTTGATTTCTTGGGAAGCCACGAGAAATTAATTAGAAAACAAAACAAAATGGTTGGGGATAGAGCTAATTTTTTGCAACCAAATTAGTCTTGACAACTAAAATCAAGTAAATCATAAAAAGATTGGCGAAATAAAGTTCATCTTTCGGAAAGCAGAAAAGCAAGAATGATATTTTGTGTTCATCTTGCCAAAGCGAAATAACATTTTCTTACCATCACAAGTTTTTCCATTCCCGGTATATCCTTCATTACAGGTACATGTATAGGTTCCAGGTCGTGTGTCAGCACATGTCGCAAATTCACTGCAATCTTCTTGTGGAGTTCCACATATTTTGATTTCTGATGAAAGCATTATGAATGAAGAAGCAGTTAATAACATACCTTACAGTTGCATTAATTTTGTAACCTAGTAACTGTCCGTGGATGTAGCCACAATTGTGTAACTAAATTCCGAGTTAGCAGAAATTAATTTTGCTATTGCGGTGGGGTAGAGGCAACGCTTTGTTTTAAAAAATGAGAAATCGTACCTTGGCAACTTTTCCCATCTCCACTATATCCTTCGTTACATGTACAGGTAAACGTTCCTGATCCTGTGTCAGTACATGTTGCAAATTCACTGCAGTCTTCTTGCGGAGTTCCACATATTTTGATTTCTTGGGAAGACAAGAGAAATTAATTAGAAAACAAAACAAAATGGTTGGGGATAGAGCTAATTTTTTCCAACCAAATTAGTCTTGACAACTAAAATCAAGTAAATCATAAAAAGATTGGCGAAATAAAGTTCATCTTTCGGAAAGCAGAAAAGAAAGAACGATATTTTGTGTTCGTCTTGCCAAAGCGAAATAATATTTTCTCACCCTCACAGGTTTTTCCATTCCC